TGTGTGTGTGTCTGTGTCTGTGTGTCAGGGACAAAGAAAGAGGAGCAGCTAATAAAGGCGCTCAGATCCAGGACGCGCTGCTGCTCCATTATCCGGTAATGGCAGCAGAGCCTGTGGGCGACACTCGCTGTCAGGCTGCTGCAGGAAACACTTCCTCACTGAACTCACAACATTTCCCTCTGTTTGTGTTTAAAAGGACAAAAGACAGAGACAGACTTCTCTGCTTACCTGCGACTATGATAAAGATGTTTTATTCTTATAGCTTTGATGTGTCATTAGCTCGGAGCTGAGACGTGCATCACTTTGCCCTGTGCTGCCTAATCCCTTCAGTCTCTGCGCCTCCATAATGCACAAGCTGAGCTCAGGCAGACGCTGTCAGCGTCCCCTCACTTCCTCTCTCAGGTGTCTGCAGTTCACCTGCTGTGAACATCAGAGACTCTGGGAAGGTTCAGCGTCTCCAGCAGCAGAGTGACCGACACCTGCGCTCACCTGTGTCAGAGCTGCAGCAGCCTCTCGCTGCTGTCGCTGCACTTCTGAGCTGCATGTTTGCACTGTTTGTGTCACGTGTTGTTAGGAATAAAGCACATCATGCTCTCATCATCCAAACTGCTGCTTGCTGGATTCAGACACTGACCGGTGTAAGCAGGATCAGCTGATCCTGGATCTTTTAAACTCCAAGCTAAACTCCAAGCTCGCATTAGATCGCCTGGTGCATTCACTGCACGTCTGTGCACATAAAAATGGATTCGTGGTGATGAATTCCTTTCAGGTGAGTTGTTTGTCCCAGCTCTGACAGAGTGAATGCCCTCAGGCCATCGCAGACCGTGCACTCAAACACAGCCTGACGACCGCTCATTTCAGCCTTTTTTCAGAGCTTTACTCAGACTGCAGACACTCCTCACTCTGACTATCAGATAAAGTCAAGTGAAATTAATGATCCAAACTGATGACCGCACTGTCCTCCGTGCAGAGAAGGAAAGGCACAGAGGGAACCGTCCTCCATCAGAGCGAGACGCCGCTCTCTCTGACACGAAGCCTCGAAACTGAACCGAAAGCTCCTGAGCTCTCCTCCAACAACCAAACGACTCATCCACCCCTGTTAGGATCAGTTTCCCCACCAGCCTCTGGCAGTGTGTGTGTGTGTGTGTGTGTGAGGGAATAATGGGGCTAATCTAAGCTAAGGTCCCTGCTACGCTTGTCGAGCAGGTTAAGTCCAGAGTGGATGGAGTGGAAAAGGAAACGAGCAGCACGAGAGGCCCAGCGACCACGAGGGGATCAACATGCATCAGTAAATCCACAAAATTCACTGATTTAACCATTTTGATTAACCTGTTACAGCCGAACACAGTCAAAGTGTTTTATGCGTCTTAGTCCAGCTTTACAAAATCATTCCTACCAGAGCTGCTCTGGCAGCACAGGGTGGCCCTTATCAACAGCACCCGGAGCCCAACGAGCTCCACAACACAGGTTTATACGAAAGCAGCCAAAGACCCCAGATCAGCATCCACGGCTAACATCACGTACACTGAAGTAGTGTAGGGTAGTAAATCCTGCTCAGCAGTGCATCTACAACAGATCACAAACATTATGCTGATGCCGGGAACGGGCTTGGTTTGCTGTGCTAGAATAAAGTGTAATTGCACATCCACTACAGCAGGTGGCAGGGTTTTTTGCACCGAGCGTGTCTGTGTCTCCAGCACAGAGCAGGAGACACAAAGTGCAGCAAACAAACCCTCAAGAAAAATATTTAACAGTGACGAAAAGATAGGCGGAGATGACGGGACAAACAAAAGTCTCAGAAAGCTAAGACGAGGAAATGTGGCAATGCGTCTGTAGCGCTCGGCTTCACTCTGACTCGGTTAAAGTGTTTTCTATGTTTGAGGAGGCCCGAGTGAGTTTTTGAGGACCTGCATTTATTGAGTTTCTTTCATTTTATTATTCAGAAGCAGATGGTTCAAGTCAGTCAAATGTTTTTAGTTTGAATAAGGTTTTATTTTCTTAAATTTCAGACAAATTTTCAGACAAAAAAATGTTAAAGATATTCTTTGATTGAAGTTGATCTACGTTTCTTTTGTTTTCTTTAATGTTAATAAGGATACAATGTCATGCAGAGATGTGCTTAAAATATAACAGACAAATGAGACTACTTATAGGGAGAGTGGGGTCGTAACAGGAAATAACTGAGACACCACGCTCAAAAGAGAGGACACTGCAAAGACTGTATATAAAAGATGGAATTAGCCACCATGTTGTCACCCATTTGCTTCTGGCGTGAACGTTGGTGCTTGTTTATAACTATTAGCTAACGCTAGCTAGCTTAGCTATGTGAACCTCACACAGACAGCTGCTAATTATTCCTCAGAAACATCCAAATAAAATTCTAGAATTTCACTGAAAACTGGAGCTCCGCCTCCTTGGACCATCTGTCAGTACAGTAACCACACAGCTGCCGTGTTATTGGTCAGATGATGTTATTAAAAACGCTCCAACAGCACGAACACGGTGCAGAGGTCCCGCTGAGGTGCAGCGTAGCAGTGAGCTAGCAGCTACAGCCTTCGACTCTGCACTTTCCTCTGTGCTGCTCTAGGCTCCGCCCCCACTGTTACTTTCTCTCAGCTCTGCTTTTTAACAGAGCAGTATCTGTTACAGTCTGCTCTCATGTTCTTATTTAGTAAAAGTCTCATATTTCTATCAGCAGTAACAGAAAAAAAACAAAAACTTTTTTGACCAGCAACACGGACTTTTAAAACTTGATTCTCCTCTGAGTCGGTCTGATGGAAGGTGCAGCTTTGCGTCTGACTTCTGCTTGTCCTTTCAGGCTTTTAAAGCAGCTCAGCAGGGGGTGTTTGTTTTGTTCATAAGGACAGCCCTCAGCCTTTCTGGCAGCAGCACAGCAGACCCTGATGTAGGGGTTTCTTTAGCTGGCTCTAATAATCACAAACACTGAATGAATCAGCTTCTGCGATGGAGGCTGACCTCACTCTGATCTGAATGTGAAACACTCAGCAGGAGGGAGACCGTTTGTTTAACTCATCATTTCTTAGCGTTGCACAATGAACCACACAAAGATGATGGAATGGAAACCAACCCGAGCTCCTGGGGTTAAAACAAAACAATGTTTTAACAAGTGAACCTGGAAATCTGTCGTCTTTCCTCTGCACGTTTGTCCTCAAACCTCTGCAACGCCACAAAAACAGGCCGCTGGTGTTCGAGGTCACGGCAGGAAAAGAGAGAGCCATCACTTCCTTTTTCTCTTACTTCAGCGCCTTGTTGAGCGCACGCTTATCCAATTGTTTGCAAAGCCTGCTTTAGCACCGAATGTGCTCCGACTGTTCTTTAACCTCCAGGTTAGTGAAGGAAAAGCTCGTCTGTTGTGATTTTAGGTGCAGGTTCTCTCACCGCCTACATGACTTTTCCCGTTTTCTGTCACGCCTCCTGTTCACGTTGAGTCGGTGTTCAAGAGCGAGGAATCCCTTTGAGCCAAAAACTCTTTTTCCTACTCTTGGATCTATATGATGTCATCAAGAGGGGACATCCCTAATATGGTCGTTTCAGGCATCCATGCTGAGCATTTCACAGCTCAGAGTGAGTCACGGTTCATTTTAAACTGTGACTCATGCAAAGCTGCTCAGGAATAAAAATAGGTTTTTCCTCCATTCTTTGTGGTTTTTCACCTTAATGAGCCTCAGTCTGAGCGTCCACAAGAAGCCGATGATCAACCTCAGAGTGGGCGGTGCCAGCCGCAGCTCGCCGCTCGCCGCACTAGCAGCTGTTGGTGACTAACAGTTGGCTCCATTGTTTACAGCTGATCGTTCAATTCAAGTTCAGGAACTAAACTATCATGCAGGCTGCTGATTGGACTGTGAGCGCGCACACACACACTGAAGTGAGGAGCTGTGACCTGCAGAGTGCTGCAGAGGAGCTCAGTGCAGGACGCTGCAGTCGGTTAATATTTGTGCTCTGTGAGGGACGACTGTGCTTCACTGGACCATGAAGAACATGAAGGAAGCTCACAGCAGCGTTTCATAACAGCCCTGTGGAGGAACTGCACTGAAATCACTGTTCAGCAACACGAGGGGCTCAGAAACTGTTTCTAACCTGATACTCTGATTACTTTGATCTCCAGTTCTGTGAGTAATCAATTACTTCTGAAAAGGAAACATTAAACGAACCTGTACGCTACAGGACAATGACCAACAACAGGTGGTGCCAGAGGCACGGGTGTACTGCTGACCTGTAGGTCAGAGTGACTGCAGTGCGCACACACACACACACACACACGCACACACGCGCGCACACACGCGCACACACACGCGCGCACACACACACAGCTAATGGTAGCTAGCTTTTTGCATCCAGAGATATCTGCTGATTAGTGCTCTCTAACTCTGTTACTACAGTAACCTCACAGCAGCCATGTTATTGGTCACATGACGTCATTAACATGCTCCAAAAGGCTCTAACAGCACAAACAGTCCAGTTCAGGCACAATTAGCTTAAAAGCTTAGCAGGCAGCTAGCAGCTACAGCCACCTGTGTCACCATCTACCTGTCAGTCAGAGAAGCCACGCCCCTAATAATGTAAACTTCCTATGACACCAAACAGTTTGTGTATCGGGCTGCAAACGTGTCTATTTCTGCTGGAAATGTTTAACATGGGGGACTGACTCACTGCTGCCTCTGCTGGGCGTCAGAGGAACTGCAGGTTTGGAGCTCAAAGCAAAAATTCAGTCCAAATATTCTGCAGAACTAAGTGAAACTAAACGATTCAGAAGCCTAAATGCAGATCAGGGTTGTGACAGGTGTGCACCGGGGTTTTGTTCTGACTGTCACACAGCTAAATAATTCAGGCTGTAACTGGATAGAGTATGACATAATCTGAGTTTCCAAGAAAAAAAGAAAGACCGTAGGGCGGAGCCAGACGGAAATCTGTCTGAAAACGAGGGGACACATTCAGGGCCAGAGCCAATGAAACATGAGCTCCCAGATTTGTCTGGTTTCCGGGCTGATGTTACGTCTCAGGCTGCTTAGACTACCTGATACCTGAGCGGTTTCACATTACAGTCCGATACCTAAACCGCCCGAGCTGGCTGAGCAGAGACACCCTTCAGCTCATTTTTGCAGATCGCATCCTCGAGGTCATTCGCTCAGCGCGTACCCACGGCGCCCTCATGACAGCAAATCCACAGCTTCACCTTCATACTCGGCCCTCCCTTCATCCCAACAGGTGAAACGACAGCAAGGGATTTATCTACTGATGATTCAAAAACAACAAAATCCAACCGAGCCATCTGCAGGATTTATTCGAAACTGAAACCATCTGATGTGCAGGAACGACTGCGGCTCTGCTCTCATTTCACCGGCACCGAGCCAATCAGAGAGCTCGTTAACAGGCAGCAGGCTCACCTTTCCTTCATAGCAACACTTGGCAGCATCACACTCACTGCATCACCTTACAGCACAGAGCTGCCATCACTGCAGACACACACACACACACACACACGCCTGCATGAAGGACACTCACGATACAGTGAACGTGGTTACCATAGAAATAAAGTGCTTAGTCATTCTGAGAAGACGAGCTCGACTGTGTGTGAGGTGCTGTCTAAACACTGCAGGCACTGCAGAGGTGTGTGTGTGTGTGTGTGTTCAGATGACATAACAGTCACTATATTTCCCTGCATTAACCAGCTGAAGCACAGTAAGCAGAACAGTCTCTCAGGGGAAACAGCATGAGGATGACTTCTCATCAGCCTGACACTTAATGGACAGCGAGGGTGAGAGAGAGCGCTGCGAGCTGATTGGATGGCAGTCTAATGACGGCTGGTCCAGAGGTCACACAGCAGCGTGTGGATGGAGCCGTTATGTAACCAGCTAGCTGGCCTTCGGGGCGGGCTCAGTGATCAATACCTGCGCAGCTGATGGGGTCGGCGTGGAAACGCTGCCTCATTACCGCAGTGACACAAACGGTTCCACGTGGACACCTGTGCTAACGAACGAGCACCTACATCTGCAGGCCCGTTCTTCCTGTCGCCGTTTTCATTTCAGTCCATTACATTTTTGTTAGAAGTCCAGTGACGGATTGTTCTGGAAATAGAGCTGCAGAGCTTCCCATCGGTAAAAATACAGACCCAGATCACATGACGTGTCCATACATGGCCAGAAATGCCCACACATGATGTGGTTTTTTTCCACTGCATGAACCAAATGTTCCTGAAGCTGACGGCACCCACAGGAGGGCTCAAACACCTCTGTGGCTGATCTTAGAGAATCTCCCCGATTTCTCCACATTTCAAGCTTCTCCAGACATCATTAATATTTAAAACCGCTGCTACGAGGCCTCGCTCTGACACGCAGATGTGGCGCTGCGTTCTGAAGCGGACCCAGCGTCCTCTGGGAACCACAAAGCCTCGGCTCCTCTCAGCAGGCGTAATAACCCAACCTATCAGAGGCAACGCCTGTTACACTGAGAGGCATCACATGACTCCTGTGAGGCTTCCAACTGTCATATCATGAAAACTTTTATTCGATCGATCGATTGATCTCCCACGTGTGGGACGGATAGAGGTTTTGTGGTTGTACATCAATACAACTGTTATATCGCAGATTACAATAACATGTAGGCATTACGTCCTTATTAACTACATAAAGTGCAAAAAAAACAAACAAACTACAAAATAACTGAACTTTTTTCAACACATTTCTGGTTATAGAAAGTTCAAGACTGTAAATGCAAAAAAGTTGCACAAAATCGTGTCTTCATAGTTTCATTTTTGAGATAGACCAATGTTTATAAACAATTTGCAAACAAACAGCATCACAATAAACGATTTCCAGCAGTTTCAGTTCTGAGCGTCTCAGAAACCGTACAGGAGAGCATGAAGTCCAACACGACTTTCACAAACACCAGGGAACCTTTGAAAGGCCTGCAGGATAAAAACTACGTGTCCCATGAAAAATGACGTCACTTCCAGGACATGAAATAGTTCGCGCTGACGTTTATTCCAGCGCAGGACGTGCTATGAACAGCTGATCGGATCAGCAAAGCCATATGTGGAAGGAAACCGCGACCTGGACAAGCTGGATGCATGCTATGGAAGCACGACTCCTCTGATGTCACAAGCACAAAGATTATTGTGCTAGCTGATGTTCAGAACGCTCAGAGGGGCCTTAAAGGGTTAAAACCATATAATGATTAATGTAACTGCAGGTGTCGGCCTCACGTTTACCTGTACAGGTAAGAACCAATGCAAACACTCGTCTCGAAGCTTCCCCCAACGAGCCAATCAGCTCAGCCGGAGAACAGAAGAACCAATCATGCTCGCCGGTCCGTTATCACCATAGAGACACAGGTAAGTGCACTATTGTTGCCATGATGTGAATTAACATGTTTGTTTAGTGCTCTGGTGGGAGGAGCCAAAGCAGTTTGTTGTTTTGATGCTGTGCATGCAGTGAAGGACAACTTACAGGAAAAAGCTTCAGCGGTTTAAATAATTTGAGTTTTTCTTTAAAGGAAATTTAATCAGGTTAGACTGGAGACGAGCTGTGCGGTTTAAATGTCCCGGTCACCATGGAGACGAAAGTTACGGCTCCATCCGCGTTCGTTAAGGCGGCCATCAGGAATATCGGCCTGGACTGGCTCCGAGGTGGCTGCAGAGTTGTGAGTCTGTGCTGCAGCTGTGTGTACATTTGTACAGGATTCAGTTACATGAACGATCCTCTGAAAGCATCTGGAAACCATCACAGACGCCAAAGGAAGGACTGCACGCCATCACCTCCGTGTCTCCACGGTCGGCCGTTACTTATCCATGTGCAGCAGCTCCACTTTACATAAGAGCGGACGCTGCAGCAGGAAGTTTAAATACCATCATCAGACTCATTACAGCACGAGAAGTGTTTCGTCGGCTTATTTACTCTGAAGTTAACAGTTTACAGCTAATGAAGCCGGCTGCAAGAGATTAACTGTGACACAAGTTAATGTTACATGATCCATTTGTTTTGCACCAGCCAACAATTCAAAGTGCGCACACACTGCTCATGCTCCAAGACCTAATGCCCCCCCCCACACACACACACACACACACTGTTGCCGCAGCTTTAACTTACTCTTCTCCTTCTCAGCCTGCAGTGCTGCAAAAACACATCCAGCATAAAAACAGAAGATTGGTGGGAGCTCCTTCAGCTCCTTCAGCTCCTTCAGCTCCTTCAGCTCGTTCGCTTCACACTGTCCTCAAACACACACACCACCCTCCTCCTCCTCCTCACACACTCGTCCTGCTGCACAGTACATTCATGCGTTGTGTATTATCCCGTCACCGCTGTGTGTGTGAGTGAACGGGGAAGGCTACGCAGGCTGTGACGGTGGTCGAGAGGGGGAGGGAGGAGACTGAGGGAGGGAGAGAGGGAGGGATACACCTCCCTTTTAGGTTCTGGAGCAGAGGCACGCTGCTCAGTGCTGCAGTAACAAGAAACAGTGCACGTGTGCGAGGCAGGCACACACGC